TTATTTCGCCACTAGGAGGAATTGAACCGGCAACCTTACGATTTGTAACCTGGGAGCATAACCGCTATGCTATCAACTCACAGGTCTGACCTGCGTGTTATTTTGAAATTTTTTAAATTCAATATAGTCGACTTTCAATAAATACATGTTGTTAAGTAAAGGTGCATTTATAAAACATTCATGATGGAGAATAATCTACATATAATATTTAAATAATTATATGCATTTATAATTAGCGTATATGCATGTGGAGTATCAACTATATATTTATTGCAATAGTTATATGCTATATTAGAATGCATGTTAATTCAGAATGCCTATGAGTGCTAATTTGAGACCATATAAGTTAGTTTGAAGGTTCCAATTTTCAAAATAACAAAATAACACCTACAAGCATTATTTCACACTTATATGGTATTTTAAAAACATACCAAACTGATTTCATCATCAATATTGTGAAATTTGTAGATCAAAAGAAGAAATCACTACTACAACTTATATGACCTTACTGTTATGAAAAAAAACACTCTGTGGAAGATAATCTCTAATTATATAAGGGCCCAATAGGTTATATAAGGGCACAAAAGGTCCCTCAAATAGATTGTTATTGTTATTGTTACACCAGATTTTAAATGTGATTTTTTCAAAATAGAAAAAAAAGCCATAAGCCTCACAGGTCGAAAGATAAAAAATCAGGCACAAATCAGGTACCCGATTTTAAACTGATTACTACCTGATTACCACCTGATTTATGCATATTTTTGTACCAAAAATTTGGTACAAAAATATGCATAAATCAGGTGGTAATCAGGTAGTAATCAGTTTAAAATCGGGTACCTGATTTGTGCCTGATTTTTTATCTTTCAACCTGTGCCTTATGCAGCCCCCTATATCTTTTAAATTGTATGAAGAATTCTAATTTGCATAATTATTAAATAAAAATTTGTCTAATGACCAAATTTAAGTTACATAGCTATTAGCATATTTTTATATAGTAAAGCAAAAAATAGGTATCAAAAGTCAAAATGTTACTCTAGATCAAAAGGTTGCTGAAAGTCGAAAGCGTTAAATGTATTTTGATGTCAACAATTCCAAACTTGAAATTTCTAGTGATGTCATAAAAATCATCATCCAATCAGAATCATGATTTTGTGGATGAATGCAAAATTCATATTGGTATGTAAACCATACCTGATACACTACGTTCCTGGTATATTGGATATTCTATGATATAATTGATGTGACCAGATGACTCGTATCATAAATATTAGAAATCCGATATTAAGTAATAGATTAAACTGTAGTCCTGCATAAATTAAATAATCTCGCCCTATTAGATTTCCGATCTGATCTGTATATGGGATGAGTTCCAAACCTAATTTTTACATGTAGTGATTTAGGATTTTTATCCATAATATTAGTTACATGTCAAAATCGTTTGACATTAGGGGCATTTTGCGAAACCTAGTAAATACTATTTGGGTTTCTACCTAATCCCAAACTAGTAGGTATATAGATGGAATTAACGAATTAATAGTAATTAAAGACTAAAAGTTTACCTTGAATAAAGTCAGTCAACGTTTTACATATAGTCCAAAAAGGTTCCTCGTTCTAGTGTTTCAATTTCATAATGTCATGTGATATTTCATATAATATAGAATCATATGAATCATAGTCATATGATATAGTATTATTAATATAATATATTTAATGATGATAAATCATATGTTATATCATTTATATGACATCATATTCCAACACGCGTCCCCAATAAATGATCCTGTGATTCAGAATTAGAGCCTCGTGAAGTAATATAGAGCTCTAATCTAACACCCTAATTATTCGGACCAAATCTCACCACGCCTTGACCATTATTAGGGTTTAGATTAGATAGTGGTTTAGTGCGTTGTTTTAGGTAGTAGCAGTTTTAGTTGATATCCTTATTATCTATATTTCCTGATTCCGGATCAGTTACCACTTTTACAACGTACGTACGTGTGTGTTTATAGCTGATAGCTGATCAAAGAGCTAAAACAACATACCGGATGTTTCAAAAGTTCCAAAATACGGATCCTTTTTTTTTAAATGACCTAATACATAGAGATCATTTATGCAAAAATAAATAATCATCGTGATCTTTATGTATAAGGTCACTTTAAAAAAAGGGACCGCGGTAAAACAGTGGCCATTTACACCACTGCCCAATACCGGTATCTTTCTTGATACATCAAATATCATACAAGTTTAAAGTGAATCAACAATGATACAAATCAAATGGTCGGCATTTGTTACAGTATTACAGTATATATATTACGTTTTAGCCCCGAATCAAATATTTGTATATAATTATATGTATATATCGATCGATATCAGATATCTGATATCGTGTGACTGATATACAGTTCAAATATTTGTATATAATTATGTATATATACTATTCCTAAAAGTTTCAATAAAAAGGCTGACAGTCAAAAAAAAACCAAACAACACAATATTAGTTTTATGTAATACAGTATTAATGTGTTTTTTCTTTTAATACCTCACTCCTTTTTTACAAATTATCATGTATGTTAAAACAGAAAATAAAGTTCTAAGAAAACCAGACATTAATCACTTGGCTAGTTTTGAAATATAAAATGCGATGCTAAACTTTTTAGTAAATTAGTCTTTTGCGACCACTCATTTATTTTTATCTTCATCTTGCAATGTCTTGCAATATAATCCACACACAGATATAACGACGTAGTCCCGTGACAGTATATCATTATGTGGTGGTACATTATTCACTATTTTCGGAAAAAATACCAAATTTGTATAATTTGATTAACCTCTGTTGATTTGACACATTATAAAAAGTTTGATACATTATAAAAAGCCACAACACTCTTTTTTCTCACTCTTTGTGATCATGTCTCAATCAGGAGAATCTACAACAATTTTTGATGCTGAAAGAGAACAATTTTTAAATTCAAAGTCCTCTTCAAGAGTTGCTTTAACTGTTGATAATGCTGAAGTAGATTATGAAAATGAAGAGTCTTTTTACGAAAGTGAACTACGAACGGGTTTAGATTCTATAATTGAGAATATCGGATTTGGAAAATTTCAAAAACAATTATTGGTTCGTTTTTATATTTCAATTTGATGTCATGATATATATATATTTATATAAGAAATTTTGAAGGTGCTTTGCGGTTTCGGTTGGCTTGCTGATAATGTAAGGAATTTTTCTTGATCTGTTTCTAAGTGGAAATTCAGTGATCCATTTTTTTTTTCTTTATTGCTTTAGATGTGGTTACAGGTATTTTGAACTATCAAACTCTATAGTGAATCTATATTAGTAAATCGGTTTATTCGCTCATTCTTGATACAACTTAATAGTGTGTAACATTGATACTACCAAGAGTTCAAGGTTGGTAGCGTTAAACCTTTTTATATAAAGTAAAAGGTGATGATGGGAATATTCCGTCACCTTTTAATGAGGTTCTCATACACTATTTATTCCTTTGCGCATTCTTATTATCGATCATAATAGTTCATTATCAGGTTTCAAATTCAATAATTGGCTTTCTACCTAGTTCCGTAACATTTGGTATGATGTTCGGTGCAATATTTTGGGGTATCTTTTCTGATTCTTATGGACGTAAACTAGCATTCAATTGGACTTTGGCGGTGACCGCTTTTTTTGGTATATTTTCAAGCTTTGCCCAGAGTTTTGCCCAATTATGTTTTTTACTTTTCTTTTTGGGATTTGGTGTCGGTGGAAATTTACCTGTAGATGGTAAGCTTTCCATTTTATACTTTGTGAAGCACATACCTACATATCAATATATACTTATATATACTTAATCCATTCTATTTAAAGGTACAATTTTTTTGGAATTCGTTCCCAAAAATCAGCAGCATCTTCTCACATTTATGTCTATATTCTGGCCATTTGGGGCTGTTATTACCTCCATAGCTGCATATTTAATATTACCTCAAAATAGTTGTCCTGAAAGTGATGATATTACATTTTTCTGTGACATTTCAAAAAACAATGGATGGAGATATTTGTTGGCCGCTATGGGAGGTTTGGTAAGATAAGATCATTATTTAAAAAAAGAAATTGTTTTTATCTTAAAATCTTTTTTTTTTCTTTTTTTAGACATCTCTTATGCTTATAGGTCGCGTGCTTCTCTTTGGTCTTAAAGAATCACCAAAATTTCTTTTGGCAAATAACAGACATCATGAAGCTGTAATAGTTTTACGTGATATTGCGCAGATTAATGGTCGTGAAATTTCGATTGATGTCAGCGATCTATCAACCTCTGATGAAAATCCTCCCAGAGTATCCATATCAATGACATACCCACCCGTTAAAATACACTCTAATAAACATTTTGATTACAAAGACTTCTTTGTTGATCCTATGTATTTTATAAAACGTCGTGTTGCATCAAAGCGTCAAGATATGGCTCCTCTTTTTACACCTAAATGGATTAAGACGACCATACTTGTATGGGCGATATGGTCTATAGTATCAATGGCGTATGTAATGTTCAACGTGTTTCTTCCAAAATATCTTGAAGAGCTAGCAGAAGATGAAAATAAGGGATCTACTGGTTCGGATGTGTTAAATCAAGTTTTAAAAGATATACTTATATATTCCGCTTGGGGAATACCAGGTTCCTTAATTGGAACTTGGTTAATTGATACACCACTTGGTAGAAGATACACGATGGCTGCTGGTGCTTTCTGCACTTCTCTTTCGGTTTTCTTGTTTTCCGTTCTTCAAACAAGAATTGGAACAATTTTATGTTGTTCAGCTATTAGTTTGTTCACTACTATTAAATATGCGGTCATCTACGGATATACCGCTGAAGTATTTGAAACAAGAGTCAGGGGTACTGCAAATGGGATTGCTTCCGCATGCGCAAGAATGTGAGTTTTTTTAAAAAAAAAATTATTGTTATACTGTAGTAATCAGTTAGTTGTCTTTGCCCGTAATTGATACAATCTTTTTAACAATCTGAATCTATATATTTATTTGTAGAACTGGTATAATGGCTCCAGTAATCACGGGTAATCTTTTATCAATAAGCTTGGTAGTACCAATATACGTGTCAGCTATCCTTTTCTCAATAGCAGGATTTTGTATGGTTTCACTGCCAATTGAGACTAAAGGACGGCAAGCGTTATAAATTGGTATACAATCTAATTTATTTAGTTTGTAATGTCATAAACATAGAAATATTATAAATATTATTATAATATAATATGTAATAAGTAAGAAAAAAAAGTTTAATATTTCTCAGAATTTTTAATATACAGTATGTATATTTTTTTAGATTTTTAGATAGTTGATAAAATAAAAAATTTCTATTTTGCCAAGATTGAGCAAAATCAAGTTAATGCAAATAGACATAAAAATAGACGCACTAAACATTACACATATATTAAACCGGGACTTTGATCTTAAAATACAATTTTTAAAAAAAGTCTAATTTCTCTGATAAAATCTATTTTATACTCCTCAATTTGGACCCAGTCGATTGATCCCTTTTCATTTATTATTAATCATGAATATATTTATAAGGATTCATGATACCGTTTGGATCAATACTTTGTTTTATCTGCTTCATAATGTTGATCATTTTCTGCGATTTAGAATATCCTATACAATCAGCTTTCATTAGACCTAAACCATGCTCTATTTTATGTGTACAAAATAAATAAAGGGTTAAAACTTAAAATAAAAAACAAGAAAAAATGTGAAAAAACAGGAACTACCTGCTGATATAGATCCTTTGTGTTTTTCTAGAATCAAATATATCATAAATAATATTATTATTTTGTAAGAAATTATAAATATTTTCGTTTACCTGTCCATTCGTAGATATAAGGCTCTAACAATTTGGTTATCTCATGGGTGTATGATTTTGCAACGATATTTAAGTGTATATTACCTATTTATTGACAAATTAATGAACGTAAGTACATCTCTTGACTGAAATGTAATACGAAATATTGAATTACTTTCGAAGAAAGAAAACTCACCATCACCAATGTGACCATACCCCATAACATCCGTTACAAGTTTATCCTTGCCAAATACACCAGCATCCTTTAACTTCTTGCTTACATCTTCGACTATGTTGTAGAAAACTGGCACTGGTATAGATAGATCATATTTATATACAGAACCAGACTTACTACCAGCTTCAGGTATCCCTTCTCTAATTGACCATAGATTTTGAAGTTGTGTATTGTCTTGTGCGACAACACCATCTTCGACAACTCCTTTTTCCATTAAAATTTCCATAAAATTGTGAAGTTTCTAAAAAAGAAAAATCTCAAGATCAATTCTTATTGGAATAAAATTAGAGAATTTAGACTCACTTCTTCGTTGTGATCCTTATTGGAACCACTAGTCTCAACTAAAACGTAAAAAGGGTATTTGTCTTCTAAAGGAAATTTTGTTTCTTGAAAGAGATGATTTTTTACCAGTCTAAGCGAATGAATATCCCAAAATTCAAAAGCTATATGTGTCATTTAATGTCAGTATGCTCTTATTATAACTATCGACTACTACAAATTTTAAGAACTTCATATTCAACACCTGATAAAATTTCCGTTAACTCTCCTTTGGATATGATAAATGCTTCTTGAACATTTTGAAAAGAGTTTAAGCAAAATACAGCAACGTTAACCGACTGTCAGAAGTAAGTTTCTGTGTAAGTCACTAAAATTTTAAACAACTCCTTTACACAAGAAAGGTCACACATATACCTTGGGACGCCTTGGTGTTAAAATTGAAACCCCAGTAATTATACCCAGCGTACCTTCTGAGCCGATGAATAACTGTTTAAGATCATAGCCTGAATTCGACGACACAATTATTTAAAATACTTGAAATACGTATACCATATTTACATGTACTGTATAGGCGCAAAATAACGCACGTGGGCGCAAGGCTGGCATCAAAAAACTAGCATCCATTGACTTCCATTGGACTCCATTGCCAACCTTGCGTGGACGTTATTTCGAAAATTCCATTTTTTTGAGAATCGCATACTTGAATCAAAATAACGCCCATGCGCGTCCCGAAATGACGCGCCCCACATACATAGTCTCAGAAAAGTTTTTAGTAGTTGTAATTTTTTTCTTCAAATTTATGATAATGATTCCAATTATCGCGCATGTGCGTTCCGAAATAACGCGCATCTGCGAGTTAATACGCGCCTATACGATATGCTACACACAATAGTATCAAATATCCATATCCTACCAGTATTATCTTTACGAAGTGTAGAAAGATTATCTAATATGGTTCCATTTGGAAGCACCTATTCAAAATATTGCTTAAAAATAACTCGCTCATTTTATACAAGCAATGGTTATTTACATACCACTTCCAATCCTAATACATTGCCATGTAGAGAACCATACCGCAATAATCTCAATCCGCCAGCATTCGTTGCAACATTACCACCAATATTGCAACTAATATAAAATTAAGTATAGAAAACGTGAAGTCTAAAAAAGCAATAATAATGAAAATAAATAATTTACCTGCCTTTGGCCCCTAAATCCAATGGTACCATATAACCTCGTTCAGCAAGATAACTATCAAGAGCCTCAAGAATACAACCAGAATCACATACGAGAGTACCTATTGCGCAGAAAAATTGAACCATATTCATTTTTTTTTTTACACATATATGAAGCAAAAATTTATAATTCCTACCAGATATAGGATCAAAATCTCTTATTTTATTTAGATTATTGGTACTAATAATAATTTCATCAAATACTGGTACACCACCACCTAAAAATAGTATGATTAATATCTAATAAAAAAGAAAAAATTCAATTAAATTTAAATATCCTTACCAACAAGACCAGTATTTCCACCTTGAGGTACGATAGCCAATTTTTTTTCATTACAATACTTGACTAGCTTTGCAATTTGTTCAGTAGTCTTAGGTTTTGCTATTAATTTTGATTTTCCTCTATATTTTTTCATCCAATCGGTATTATAAGGTAATAAATCATCTTGATTATTACCATTGTCTACAATTAATTCACTGGGTGATAAAATTGATTGAAAAAATTTGATGTCATTTTGCGAAAGCTACATAATTTAACAAAAAAAATTTGGGTCAATTAAGAAACAGCATCTAAAAAAATAATATATATATATATTTAATACCAACTTCTTTAAAATTCGGATTTCTTTTCAAATGAGTATAAATATCAGTGGTATAACTAACTACTGCATAGTTCCGTTTTTGTAAAAAAGTTCTTTTATAAGAAACCTTGCCGGCTAACTGAAGTAAACTTTGATAAGGCCTCATGACGCAAAAGTGAAGCAAATGAAATGAAGTAAATGTGAGACTTTTTTTAGTTTAAAACGAAATAAATTTATCAAAGATTTACAAGATCAGGTGTTGATGTAAAAAGAAAATTCTGTGCAGAATGCACTAAAAAATTTTCCCGATGGATAACAATTTTATAAATGATAGGCTCTTAAGGTTTTATCTCAGCCTCAATAAACGAGATACAAAAAAGACTTACTAATTTGGGATTAAGTAAAATTTCTGAATTGGATTGCAAAATCCTAATGACATGTAATTCATATCGGGGCTGTCACGGGCTAAAAGTGACATTTTCGAAACTACGGCTTGGGTGACGTACGTACATACGAGGCTTGTCAGCCGAAGATTGTTGAAAGATTAGTCACTGAGGAAAACAGAGTCATGTTTAAACCTCCCATTGGTCTGTTAGTTATTTAAAGACGTAACTTGGGTGAGGTTGGTTGCGACACTTATGTGCGAAATATGGACACATAAGAAACACTAACATAGGATAATTCCCTTTAATTATATGACAAAATCACCATAGTCAAAAAAAAAATATACGTATATACGACATAAGTTATGATAGCAATTCTGACATTTCTAATCCTGTAATCGAGTTTATTAATGTGGAGGGGGAGTGGCTCGCGTCCGTCGCAATTTATCTCTAATAGAAACGTTTGGTTGTTTACATTTGAATTCCAATTATCAATGATTGTTTGTAATTAAAGAAAAGAATAGTCGTTTTAGTGTGTTCGTCCGTTTACCCGCTTTCTTCAGAACCTGTTTATTAGAGTCGCTCTGTAGTAAGTTATCCAACATGTCTTATGTGAGCACAGAAAATGAACTTTGATTATTTTGGAACTGCGAAACTATTATCACTCTCATATTTGTCATAAATTCCAATATCATTGATAGTCGAGCTCGCTCAAATATTGATGATAACAGTGTTCAATACGGAGGGAGCTACGAATGGAGCTAAATGCGGGTATATTGTACAGTACACTACTCTTACAATCAGTTATAACGATTTTACCTGTTACATATTACTGTATAATAATTCTTCATGAAATTAAACATATGTACAGCCATATCGGTTTAATATTTAAATATAAAAATTTAAAGAAAATTGATTCAGTCGCTTTTTAATCTTTTATTTATGGAACTACGATATTGTCTTTGCAAAATTTTATCCCAAAATCGAATAATACGGTTATACGTTTAAACTTCGTGAAGAATTAAAGTAAATTTGTGACAAAAGTTTCATACAGCTTGAACTATGTAAAGATTTATATATCGCATACCTCAATGTCCGTGCCTTCTATACGTATTGATATTTCGAACAGTTAAATTACTCGGTCTTCTTACCGTTCGTACGAGGTTATAACGTAGGAATCCGATATGACAGAATTTAGTGTGACAATAACATTATAAATGTATGTTTAATAGCTTGTAAATGCGTATTAGATAATTAAATGGCAGATGCGAATATGACAAATTGACATTTCATGATTTTATGAGCATTGTTCTGTTGTGTTAGTTATCGTTCTAAAATTTTCGAAGACTATTGTAAAATCTACCGAAAATGGCAATTCAAATGGACAAAATAGCCTTGGATGACGTTATCAACATGTCATAGGCACAGATAAGGATGAAAAAAAAAGCATTTGAATGGTATGATATTTGAAATTTGCTGAAGGCGCAATTCGAATGGACAAGATAATCTCGGATGGTGTTATCTACATGGAGATAAGGATGAAAAAACGGCATTTGTGTGGTATTTGAAATCTGCTGAAGGTGGCAATTCGGATGGACAACGTCATCTTGGATGGTGTTATTGTCACGTAGTTTACTAACACTACGTGTACTAGTTTATTTTTCTATCGGTCCTTAACCTCGCTTGGCCTAATTATGCGATGACTGGAGTATCGTACCAGATACTACCACCAGCAATGTATTCACACAGATATAGGGATGGTAAAAAATCGATTTTTAATGATTTTTTTGATTTTTAACTAAATGTTTAAATCATCGGTGATTATAGTACTGATGGCTACAGCTAGAATTACTGCTAGTTTATCTGTAATAATCATACGTATTAGTATGACGTCATGATTAATAATACTAATATGGTTACATGATTAATCAT